ACCTTTCTTCTGGGAGGAATCTTCATCCCTATTGAATTCTGGGAGTTGGACAGACCCAATTTCAGCTTCAGGGGGACCCAGAAAAGCATCGGGGGGACAAAGACAGAGCTCGCAGTGACCCTGAAAAGTCCTGGGATTGGCAGCAAGAGCCAATCAGAGCGTGGGGGGGACACTTTACAGTTAAATGGAGTTTTTCGGTGTCGTGTGGTCAAGTGGGTGGAGGGGCTGAGGGTCTTTTCTTCCTTAAAGAACCCTGCCCTAATTCCATCCCCGTGCATCCCAGTCCCTCCCCAGTTCCCATCCCCGTGTCTCCCAAGTGCCCTCACTGCCCTCCCCGTCTCATCCCCTGTGCTCCCATTAAAAATAAAATCAAAATGAATTCATAAAATATCTCACTTCCCGTCCCCTCCCAGTTCCCATACTGGTCACACTGGAGTTGGTTCCATTGCTGATTTGACCCTTTATTGACAACTGCTCAATGGGGTCAAAGGTCACTTGTGGTGGTGAGGGGGGTGTCTCAGGAAGTTCCCAGTGATAACTGGAGTGGGGGTGTCTCAGGGGGTCATTGGAGGGGTCTCGGGAGGTCCCGGGGGGCACTGGGGGGGGTCTCAGAGGGTTCCAGTGTACAAGGGGGAGGGGGGGCCTCAGGGGGGTCCCAGGGGTCATTGGAGGGGTCTCAGGAGGTCCCAGGGGTCATCAGAGGGGTCTCAGAGGGTCCCAGGGCACACTAGGGGGGTCTCTGAGGGGGGGTGGTGGAGGCTCCTGGGAAGGTCTCAAGCAGGAGGGGGGGAGGGAGGGGGTCCCAGGGGATATTTGGGGTCCCTCAGGGGTTGAGGGGGCCAGGGGGAGGGCAGCCCCTGGGGGGGGGGCCTCTGACACACACCCCCACACCCCCCTGGGGCTGATCTGTCATCTCTGACGCCCCCCCACCCCCCCTCAGGTCACCTCTGACCCACCCGGATCTCTGACACCCCCCCCGTCCCCGACCACCCAAGACCCTCTGGGCCCCCCCCGGGGACCTCCCAATTCCCCCTCAGGCCCCCAAGTAACCCCTGGGACCCCCATAACTGCCCCCCCGGAACCCCCCAAGACCCCAACCGGGTGAAAAGGTAGCTTGGGATCACCCCCAACATCTGCCCCGGACCCCCCGAACCCCTCCCCGAGACCCCTCCAACACTTCCCAGGTCCCTCAACCCCTCCCAAGCCCCCCCAACATCCCCCTCAGGACTCCCCAAATCCCACTGGCCTCAAATCCCTGTCCCACACCCTTGGGACCAGCCCCCCCCCCCCCGAAAGAAACGCTCTCGAGGCCGTCCCAAAGCTCAGTGGCCACTTTATAAAAAGGGGGGGCCTGGGCGCGCCCCTGTATCAACATATGTACAGGGGGAGGAGCATGTACAGCTATTTACACCCCCCCCGGGAATATGTACAGAGCCAGGAGGGGGAGGGGCGGCTCCGGGGAGGGGGAGGGGCAGGGGGGGTGAAAGGAGCTCCCCCCCAACCCCCCCAAGGGGAGTCCCCCCCAACCCGGACACACAAACCCCGAGTTTCTACAAGAAACAGCCAAAAAAAAAAAAGGGGAGAAAAGAGCCTTTTCCGTGGGGTGGGAGAGCCCGCTGTGACGTCACCGTGACGTCACCGTGACATCGCCGTGCGTGTTTTGAGGTCACGGTGGGGCAGCGATGTCGGGGGAGGGGGGTGAGGTCACACCGATGACGGGGCAATGACATCACGTGACCGCAGCGATGACGTCACACGCTGACCACGGAGGGACATCGACGGTGGCCCCTTGGTGGCCAAACATCGACGGTGGTGGTCCCCCTTCCCCCCCTCACCCCAGCAAACACAGCGTCCTCATGGTGGCCATGGTGGCCTCCCACGACCACCACAGTGGCCACAAAGCCAACCTCAGTGGCCACGCGGCAACCACGGCGGCCACAGGTTGGCCCCTCTCTGGCCAACCACAGCGTACTCGTGCCCATGGCCGTGGTTGCATGTCGGCCATGGCGGCCCAGCCTCAACCCCGGCGGCCCCTCCGACCCAGGCCAACTGTGGTGGCCAAACACCGGCTCTGGTGGCCCCTCCCGTCAACCCCGGTGGCCAAACGCCAACCCTGTTGAACACCAACCACGGTGGCCAAACACCAACCCCAGTGGCCACATGTCAACCCCGATGGCCGAGCGCCAACCGGTGCGGCCACCCGTCGACCCCGGTGGCCCAATGCCGACCCCGGTGGCCCAACGGCGACCCCGGTGGCCCAGTGCTGACCCCGGTGGCCCAACGCCAACCCCGATGTCCCCGCGGTCGCTCCCCCAGCCTCCCGGAGCAACCCCCACGCCCCCCCCTAGTTGAGGGTGCCGCGGCAGCTCTCAGTGTGGCACAGGCACGGGATCTTGGTGTCCTCAATGGGGAACTTGTAGTCATAGGTGATCTCCTCATTGACGCCGATCGCCTGCTTCGAGTAGATGACAATCTTCTTCTGCGTCTCGATGGTGATCACCTTGGCGTAGCAGTTAGGCTGTGGGGGTGGGAGGGGTCAGCAGGGCCCCCCAGATGCCTCCCCAGGGCTCAGGACTCCCATCTCACCGTGCAGCAGTGGTTGATGAACTGCGCCAGGTTTCCGCACTTGGTGGCGTCGATGATGGTGTCGTCGTCGACGCGGAACAAGTAACTGCTGCCGATGCCCTCCTGGGCGTAGCGCTTCTCACGTATGTCCGCCACCACCTGGGGGACACGGGGGGCACCGGGGGGTCAGCGGGGCATGGGGGGGGCACCGGGGGGCACCGAGGGCAGCGGGAGGTGACCAGGGGGTACTTGGGGGTCCCCAAGGGCAATGACTAGGGGGTACTTCAGGGTCATCGAGGGCAGTGGGAGGTGACCAGGGGGGTACTTGGGGGTCACCAAGGGAGGTGGGAGGTGACCAGGGGGGTACTCGGGGGTCACCGAGGGTGGTGACAAAGGGGCACTTCAGGGTCACCGAGGGAGGTGGGAGGTGCCCGGGGGATTCCTGGGGGTCACCAGGGGCGGTGGGAGGTGACCAAGAGGGTACTTGGGGGTCACCGATGGAGGTGAGAGGTGACCAGGGGGTACTTGGGGGTCACCGAGGGGGTGGGAGGTGCCTGGGGGGTTCCTGGGGGTCCCGGGGGGGTCCTGACCTGGTGGATGTTCTGCCCCACGCACTTGATGACCATCTTGTCTGCCGCGATGGGCTCCATGGCAAAGACCCCCCACTCGTGGATGCGGCTCCACCCGAACTGCAGCCGCTTCTTCCGGAACTGCTGCAACACCGCCACGGGTCACCGGGGAAGGGACACCCACGGCAACACGGGGGACGTGGGGGTCAGGGAGAGGGAAAACAGGGACGTGGATATGGCAAGAGGGACATGGAGAACACGGATGTGACGTGAGGGACAAGAACAGGACAAGAGAGACAGGGAAGACACGGACGTGACGTGAGAGGCAAAGAGAACATGGATGTGACGTGAGGGACACAGAGAACGTGGATGCGACAAGAGGGACAAAAATAACAGCGCAAGAGGGACACGGAGCCCACGGAGCAACCTGGGGCCCCCCTCCCACCCCGGGGTGCAGCCCCCCCACCCCCCACGGCCCCCCGTCCCACCTTGAGCTGGTTGAGCTTGAGCAGGTCGCTGTCGGGCAGCGCGGCCAAGCCGATGGCGCTGAGGAGCTGCTGCTGCTCCGAGTGCCGGTCCGACAGCACCCGGTTCGGGCCCTGGGGACGGGGACACGGTGTGAGGGGGTCACCGCGGTGTGAGGGGGTCGCCCTGGTCTCACCTGTGTGTTGGGGGGCGCGTCGAGGTCGGGCCGGGGGGCGGGGCAGGGGTGCAGGTACCGCGCCTCCTTGCGCCGGCTGATGGGGTAATAGCCCTCGCTGCAGGCGCTGCCCGTCCGGTGCTCCCGGCACTCCGGTAATTAATCGGTGTAATTTATCGGTAATTAATCGTTAATTAATTGGTAATTAATCGGCAAAATTAATTGGAAAAATTAATCGGTAAAATTAATCGGCAAAATTAATCGGTAAAATTAATCGGCAATGTTAATTGGCAAAGTTAATCGGCAAAGTTAATCGGCAAAATTAATCGGCAAAGTTAATCGGCAAAATTAATCGGCAAAGTTAATCGGCAAAGTTAATCGGCAAAGTTAATCGGCAAAATTAATCGGTAATTAATCGGTAAAATTAATCGGTAATTAATCGGTAAAATTAATCGGTCACGTCCCGTCCGGGAGCTCTCCCGGGACAAGGGGAGCGAGGCGGGGAGCGGGGACAGCGGCATTCTTGGAGGCGGGCAGGGCGGGGTCGGGCGGGCCGGAGGGCGGGGCCGGCGCGAGCCGGGGGACGGGCCTGGGCGGGTCGAGGGGCGGGACCGGCGCGATCCCGCGGCGCTTTGCTCTGGGCTCTGGGGTTGTTTCGGGCTGGTTTTGGGTGCGGGTTTTGGGGGACTGCGCACACCCTCCCCTGGTCACAGCCCCGCCCCAGCTCGCTGCACCCAGCTGCACTCCCCGTACCCCTTGCTCAGCTCCGCGGGGATTTGTGCCTCCTCTGAAGGTGGCAAGTGTCTGCAAAGCGAGTCGGGAAGCCAGAGAGCTGCAGCCCCCGGGCCCCGCCGCGGCTTCCCCGCCGTCACCCGGCACCTCCCGCACGTTCCGCCCCGCAGCGCCGCTCCCGCTGCCGCCCTCGAACACAAGGAACGAACCCCCTTTCCACCAGCACAGGCCGGTCCCTCCCCGGCAGCCTCGGCAGCGCCGGGAGCGGCCGCAGCCCCCATTGACGGGCGGGGCGCGCCGGGAGGGGCCGCGCGGGGCGGGGCCGGGTCCCGCGGCTGCGACCCCGCGGGGAAGGGACCCCCAGGCCGGCCCAGTCCGGCCCCGCCGCTGGCCCTGCTCGGACACCGCCCCTCGACTCGCCCACAGTTTTAACATTAGAGAGCCAAGATTTAATCCAGAGCGCCACAAGCTCCCAAGTGCAGAGGATTTCCGTAGACTTGTTATTTTTCTCTTTTTAATGACCACGTTGCTAAAGTCAGGGAAATACAATCAGCATTCCCTAAACACCATCACTTCTACATCCACCTGCGATCAGGGGCCGATGGGCAGCAACCTGCCCTGGACGGGCTGCAGGGATGGTGTGAAGGCCACTGTTCCCCAGGTTTGAATGACTCTGGCCATGATCCCCGGCCCGTGGACAGAAAGCCCAGAGCCAACAGGAACTCCAGCCAGCTGCAGGCAGATGTTACTCCATCCCAGTTTGCCAGGGTTGGGGACAAAGGTGCCCTTCCCCGTTCGGAAGTGGAAGTCGTCCCCTGTGCAGAGCCCGCTCTGATCCTCGGCCTCGTGGGAGCCAATTCCCTTGTCACAGCCCACTTCCTGCAGAGAAGAAAGGGAAAGATTGCACATAAGGAAGACATTCTTCCTTGGGAGGGTGGGGAGGTGGCCTGGCATACAGAAGCTGTGGCTGCCCCATCCCTGTAAGTGGCCAAGGCCAGGCTGGAGGGTCTATTGGAAGGTGTCCCTGCCCGTGGCAGGGGGTGGAAGGAGATGACCCCTGAGATCCTTTCCAACCCAAACCACTCCAGGATCCCAGGATGATTCCATGCTCTCTCTCTCTGCATTTATTTGGCATCCTTTCCTCTCAAAAACAACATCTCCAATTTAGTTGATTGCTAAAGCCATAATTTTAAAATCATCCCAGGAACCAAAAGGGACTGGAAAACACAGAAATCATTCCTACACCTACCAAATCATTATTAATTGGAACCCGATTCCCTCATCTCCGTCCTTGTTTTTCTTGGCTGGAAAACCTGATGATCCTCACTGGCTATTTTTAGGCTGGTTTTCTTCCACAGCTCCTTTCTCCCAGCTGAAACCTCCTGGCATATTCAGGGCTTATCTGGAGGGAAGCCCCTCTGAGGTATTTCCTCTCGTGGCAATTCTGTGGGATGAAGAAGTAAAAAAAGCACGTCAAGAGCTCCTTCTACCCCCTTCCTTTGCAAACACCCTCCCAGTTTGTCCTTGGCAGCTCCATCCCCCCGGCACCCGCACCCGACGCTTCGGCTCCGCTGGGAAAGGGACAGCAAGTGCAGAAGCAAGTTCAGTGCTGTGCAGGGGCTCCCTGGGGAACAGCACTTCAGTGGTTTAGTCCATGGCCTTTCCTGCTGCCCTCCCTCCAGGAGGCAGAGGATGACCCGGCCATTGCTCTCTCCCTTGTTTCTCCCACACTCGCAGACCCAGGTCCTGCTCTTTTGGCCCCACTTTTCTTACCAGACCCGACATCATTTTCCAGGGTCCCCAGGAAACTTCTGCACTTCACCCACTGCTAAGTGCGGAGCACAGGACAAGGGAAGGACAAATTTCTCAGCACCCACCACCTGGAATTTTCCTTCTCCACAACACACTCTTGTTCCTGCTGTCTCTGGAGGTGCCTGCACGAGTCCTCCTTGTCCCAGCCCTGCCAAACTGACACACGCACAGGAGAAATAACAGGTCCTGCTTGCACAATTCCTGACCCTAACCCTTGCCTATCCTGCCCAGAGCTGAGGGAAATCTAATGGAATATTAATAAACCACCTTTGTTAAGAGTAGTCATCAGCCCGGTCCTTCAGGTTTTGCAGGAGTTTGTAGGGAACAGACCCAAATTCCAGTCCTACCTCTAAATTTCTAACAGCTTTCCTCGGAGAGATTCTGGACAGTAACACACATAACGGAAAGAATAGACTGCACAAGGAGTAACAGAAGGTTTGCCACAAAGAACAGAAGTTCCTGTTCTCCCTCATCAGGCTGGGACTGCAGGACCCAGTCTTTGTCACCAAGAGACCAGAGCGTTGTCATTAAGACTTAAACCTCTCCCCCATGGGTGTTTCTCAGAGAACTGGGCCAGCACTGAGCTACTCCCATGTGCCTGCAGTGCTTTGGGGAGGGGCAAGACAACCTCCCACTTCTGCTTGGAAGAGAATGAAAAGTCATTCCCCTTCTCTCTCTCTGACCCAGAACCAAAGCAGTCGTGTAGGACAACACCGGACTATGCACAGAAGGCCTGATTCAACTGGGAAAACATCGGACTATGCACGGAAGGCCTGATTCAACTGGGAAAGAAAAAAACCCTAAACAAACAAACAAACAAACAAACCAACCCACCCTGAATTTCAAGGTAAAAATACGCTGCTTCCTGAACAGGAGCACACAAAACACATTGAAGCCAGAGAGAAAATGACAAACCAGAAAAAAAAAAAAGAGCCAAAAGAAATGCTCTGCCTGCCTTGATACACTCTCTGCTTGATCATTCCAAAGGAAATTCTCCACAGATCAGAAGCAATTACCAATCATTTTTCCTCTGTAACAAATGAATGACTTGGGTTTCTGCTGAGGGGCTGGACATGTCCAGTGAGGGTTCAGGGGTCTGGTGGGTTGTTTATGGCAGATCCTGACCGGCCCAGGCCAAACCCAACCATCCCCATTGCTGCTCCATCCCACATGGAGAATATTGATACTGTATAGAAATACTCCCCTTCCCTGCTACTTCATCCTTCCTTACACATCTGTGGAGCAGGTTTTCTCCACCCTTTGTTCCCAGCAACAGCTCTCCAGCCCAAATCCCAGCTCCCACAGACACAAACTAAACACACCTAAGGCGATGGTTCCATCAGCACCTGGAATTCCGAGCTCTCCGTTCCCTGAAATGCTCATCCCAACACTCACAGCAATCTCACCTCAGCCCACAGGCTCTCTGTCCTCAGAGGCAAACACAGCCTGCTCTGGCACTACGTTTCCTCTCATTCCTGGTCTTCTGCAAACCCCCAGGGCAATCCAATCCTTCAGACCCTGCATCCCTGGACAGGAGGGGAACTGGAGTTTGACCTGGATCCCAGTGCTCTGGACAAGTGTGTTCCCATGAGCACAGGCCCGTGGCTCCATCCAGCCCATCCATCCCTCCTTTCCCCCCAGGGAGTCCCAAGCCCTCCCCCAGCTCCCCTGTGTCTGTCCCATGGCCCAGTCCAGCTCCAGGCTCTTCCCCAGCGTTGTGTCAGCTCCAGCCCTGGCAGAGCTGCAAACACCCCCCCAAGCTCTGCCCCCCAGGCTCCTGAACCCCCAAACCAAGGCTCAGGCTCACCAACGGGGACCCACCTGCCCCTCTCAGCACAGCCCAACCCCACAGCTCGGGGACCCCACGCTCACCTGGCCCTTCGCCCCTTCCTCTCCACCCTTCCCAGCACGGCAAGGACCAGCCCGCAGTGGGAAACAGAGCCAGTGCCCAGGGAGCAAATGCCAACAGCCAGGAGGAGAGAAACGTGTCCCTCTGACTTACCCCACTCCACCGGCAGCACCAGGTGCCCCCAGCGCCGGTCGGCGGGGCTGGAGCCTGTTGCCTTTGGTTGCTCATACCCCAACACATATGGCATTGCTGGACCCAAGTCAATGATTTTCCCTGTCCTGAAAGAGAGGAGAACAAGAAAATTAAGTTCACTGGGGAAGTGAAAGGCTCTTGGCTTTCACCCTTCTCTTCTGATTACTCACTACAGGTGTTTCTTCCCTAAAACCTCCTCTTACCCCCCCCCCCCCCCCCCCCCCCCCCGTTCCCGGCCGGTCGCCGCCACTGCCCTGCCCGGCGGCCCCGAGGGCTTCAGGCCCGGCCCGGCCAACGCCTCGCTCTCTATGGGCGCCGCTTCCGAGCCCGCCGCCGACTGCCGGGCCCTGAGGCCTCGCAGTCGCCGCCTGGCGGACACGGCCGGGAGCGGCACTGCAGCCGCGCGCCCCCCCCACCTTGCAAGACCCGCGGCGCCTTCTCCTCGCGGCGGCACGCAGGGGCAAGTTTCTCCACAGAGGCGAGAAACTTGCCTGTCGTTTCCCCTGCCTGCAGTCCCAGATGGCCGCGCGTGAGGCAGAAGAGCAGCCGCGACCCGGGACCCGCTTACCCTGGGGACGATCTCCTGGAGAGCCCGACGTCGGATCTGCCGCCGTGGGTCGCTTCCGGGGGAGGAAGGCGGCGGCGCAGCCCTGACAGCATCTCCGGGGCACGACGGGACCGAGAGGGGCGGGGGCGGGAGCGGGAGCGAAGCGGAGCGGAATGGGGCGGGCGGGCGGGCGGTGCCCAGTCTGCCTGGGGTCCTCGCGCCCAAGGCGCGCGGCGCGGCGCCGAGAGGGGGCTGCCCGCGCCGGTGCCTGCCGCCGCCCACGAACCTGCCACCCGCGCCCGGCGTCGCCGAGCGCACCGCCCTGTCCCCGCACCGGGAAACGGTGCGGCGAGACGGCGCTGCGGGCGCGGGGCGGGTGTCCGGGTCGGGGCGGAGGTCAGACAACAGGATAGACGCCTCTCTGAGGGAAGGGGTCCTCTCGCCGCCATCTTGTGTGTGGTCTGAGCTAATTTCCGGTCGTGGCGGCACCATCTTTGGTGTGGCCTCGGCGAACTTCTGGTCCGGGGCCGCCATCTTTGTGGACGCCCTTGGAGGACTTCCGGTAAGGGCGCCGCCATCTTTGTGTGCGGCCTCACAGGGAAGACTTCCGGTCACGGGGGGCGCCATCTTGGGTGGTGTGCCGTCGAAAACAGTCCGGTCGCTCTCTACTTCCAGTGCTCCCCGGAAAACGTCCCTCACTAATTTCTGCGCTCTCACCTCGAAAATCTTCATGTTATTCCCCCCGCACACACCCCAGGAGAGACGGGAGACCACGAGTCCCGTCGCGCCGCGGGAACCGGCCCTTAAGTTGAGCAGGGAGCGCTGCAGCAGCACGAGAGCCACTGCGCATGCGTCGCCGGGCCCGCGCCTGGCCACCCTTGGTGATCACGTGATCGCCGGCGTCTTGCTAACTACTGCGCATGCGCCGACGCCGCCATCTTGCCTGCCCCCCCCCCCACTGCCTCGCCCCCCGGCTTCTCCCTGCGCGCGCCTCGCCCGCTTTTCTGGGGCCCCGCCCGGACATTTCGCGGCTCCCCCGCCGCCGCTTTTTCGGCTCCCGGGGGTTCCCACACCCACCCACCTTTTGGGGTCTGCTTCTCACATTCTAGGGGTGACCCCCTGTGCTGGTTTAAAAGTTAACCAGCAAGGCAAAATGAACTCAATTCAAAAGAGAGATTTATAAGTCAGAATAACAATTTATTAAAATAATGCAATAAGTACAAGTATACAGACAGACAATTGGTTTTAACCCACAAAACCCAAATGTACAAACCCAGCACCCTGGGGTATGAACAAAAGTGGTGTACCTTGGCCCACCCCCCGAGTCCAAAGCAAAGGGAGAGGGGATAAACCTGCTGGTGGGAGAGCTGCTGCAGTCTGGTCAGAAGTGGTGATTGCAGTCCAGTTGAGGGGGGTGGTCTCAGCCTGGTTGGGAGCAGCGGTGGTCTGCTGTCTTCCTCTGGGTCCCACGAGAGGTCGCAAGGCTCTGAAACTCCCAGTTATATACTCTCCAGTTCAGGCGGGAGTGCTCAGTCCCTCCCTCAGAGTAGGGAATTCCATAAAAGGGCATGCGGATGCTCAGTCCCTCTTCCATATAAGGGTATCAGAGCGGGGAATTCCATATAAGGATATCAGAGCGGGGAATTCCATAAAAGGGTACAGGAACATCTTCCCACCTTGCAGGCCTCTACTGACAGCAGTTTTTGGGAAATGGCATGGAGGCTATAGAATACACAGTTTTGGGTTGCACCCATCCAGGGATGAATTGGTCCCAGCCGTTCTAACCAGGACACCCCCCCAATTTACAGGTTGGAGGGTGGGAGGGGAGAGTAAACGGGATGCCCAAGGATTTTCTTTTTTTTTTTT